GTCCACAGAAGTAGATGTAAAAAAGAAAAAGTCTAGGCTAATGCCTCTGTAACAACCCCAAGGGACTCTTGGGGAAGTTCTACGCCTCTGGTTTAAGGAGGGTGACAGACACATTAAACAGACCTAAGCCCAACCCACAGACTGGAGACAAGTTCAGCTGAGGCGAGCCTGGATCAACTAACCTCCAGCTGACCCACAGATACATGAGTGAGAATAAACGATCATTATTTTAAACCACACTAAATTTGGGGGTGATTTGTTGTACCTTATTATTATTCTAATGTCAGATAGAATGACTCATCATAAAGATATCAATTCTGCTCAAGATAATGTATACATTTAATATGATCCCAATAAAATATACTGAGAAAGGTTATTATTAGCTAAATGACATTTTCTATAACTGAAATTGTAGATGACACCAAAAGGAAAAGGGAGAGAGACCAAAGAAGTGAGAGTAGTGTGATAAGGTTCTTTTCTTGTTGGGGACAAACACAGATTTGATAAGTTTATATATTGGTCTGGAAAAATAAGCCTAAGCATGGCTCTTAGTAAGTTTGGAGAAGCAGAAGAGCAAAATTAAATGTCTAACTTTCAAATCAGCCAAGAAAATCTATCTTTCCAATGAAAGAAGAAAGACAGAAAAAATAATCTTAAGTGATGTTGATGGGAATGGCAGAGTAAGGATCTTCAAAAAGCCACTTGTCAATAAAAGCAACAAAAATACTGGCAAAAAATTGTCAAAGACCTAAATGAAAGAGCCAGAACTATAAAACTCTTAGAAGAAAACATACAGAAAAGCTTCATGACATTGGATTTGTAAGGATTTCTTGGCTATAACACCAAAAACAAAAGCAACAAAAGAAAAAACAAGTTGGATTTCATCTAAATCAAAAATACTTCAGTGCATCAAAGACACTACCAACAAGGGCAATCAATGGAATGGGAGAAAGTATTTGCAATCTTACCTCTGATAAGGGATTAATATTCAGAATAAATATAGAACTCCTACAACTCAACAATAACAACAAAACAGACAGACAATCGACTCAAAGTGGGCAAAGGACTTGAAAAGACATTTCTCCAAATAAGATAACAGAGGTTACCACCCACTGTGGGGAGGAGAGAACAGGGAGGTCCCTTATTGTTTAAGGATACAAAGTTTCTGTTTGGGATGATAGAAAAGTTCTGGAAATGGATAGCAATCATGGCTGCACAACACTGTGAGTGGACTTAACATGGCTGAACTGGACACTTGAAAAGTGTTAAATTAGCAAATTTCATGTTATCCGTATTTTGCCACAATAAAAAATTGAAAGAAAACTAAAACAGTGTATTTCCCAGCTCTCTCTACTAAAATGTCCTAATAGCAATCACCCACCCAGTGGCAGTGAGCACCCCTAGTATCCAGACTGTGGTTTCTAAATATCTTTTCCCATCGAAAGGAATCAGGGCTCCTCGCAGTGATGGCTGATTTCAGATCTGGAACGGAGAATGTACAGTGTGAGCCCGGAACATTCTGACACACCAGAGAGCAAAGGAAGCTCCAAAAAGATGACAGAAAATGGGTGAAAAGGATTCAGGAGCCAACCTGAAGAGGCTCCCACTATCCAGGATGAGACAATAACTACAATGGTTTGAAACACAGTAAATGTTTTAAATTTGAAATTTTATAATGATCTCCAAAAAGATGAACAAAGAAGAAAAATCTCATTAATCACCTTTGGAGAATGCTAGGGAACAACCACATTATTTTGAACAGTGGTAAATAAAAATAAAAGGTAAGAATGTTGCTTTTATCCTATATTTCAGGATATTCAGGATGTAAACTGCCCTTCAGAGTGACACTTGATAAAAGGAGGAATCTTTCTATGGAAGTATTCCAGTTAATCAATGATGCAGGAGTGAGCAAGGCAGAAGGGGAAGAAGGGAGGGAAAAAAAGAACGAGAGAGAGAAAGAAAAAATATGAGGCTAAAAGAAGAAAATATAGAAGCATATCTTTGTGACTTCATTTCTTAAACAAACACTCTAAATCACAAACCATCAGTGGGGGCAGGAGTGATAAATTTGACTATATTAAAATTAAAGACATTTTTCGACAATGGCTACCACAGGCAAAATTAAAGATGGAGGGTAGATTAGAATAAGATATTCATACTTACTCTAAGGCTAACAACAAAGTCAGAACATGTAAGGAACTCCTGCAAATCTGCCAGAAAAAAGAGACCCAAAGGGAAAACGATTGCCAACAATAGGCAGTTAATAGAAGGGGAGCCCAAAGGATGATGAGCAAATGAAAGTCGACTTCACTAGAATTCAAAGAAATGCAAATTAAAGCAAATTTGTAAACAGTAGAAAGTTGGATAATACCAAGTGCTGGCGAGGCTATAGGGGAAAAGGGAATCTTCATGGATGGTAGGAGCCTAATGTGGTGCAGCCATTCAAGAGAGCAATCCGGTAGTTCAGCACTCAGACTGATGGATTTTAGACCTCAGACAAATTCTCACACACAGCCACCAGTTTCTATCTGTGTTCATTACAGCATTGTTTGAGACAGCAAGGAATTGGTAACAACCTAGGTGTCCCTCACTAAGGAAATGTAAAAATTAAAGTGATGGAATACCATGCAGGTCAGAAAATAATGAACTGGATTTACATATGGCAGTGTGGAGTGCTCACACAAACATAACATCATGTGAAAAAAGAGACAGATAGAATGAGATTTATAGCCCAATAAAGATCATGTGTATTAGAAGCACAGAGGCCATTTTCTTCTGCTTTTTAAGGATGGATCTACATACATGAGCAAATGGATTGTGCCAGCACATTGCTCAACTTCAGGATTACCATTCACAGTTTTGTATGTGAATGGTGCCCTCTGGAGCATGATTCCAGAACACAACATGAATGGTGCCCCCTGGAGGTGTGCAGCATGGCAGCCCTGAATATGCAAGATGGTTTGCAAGGTCATGGATTAAATACACTGGAATAGGTGCCTATGGTGGGGACAAGAAGGCAAATAGAGTGGGAATGGGGGAGGAAGGGGAACATGAAGTCAATAAAACAGAAGAGGGCCCTCGCACAAATGGAGGGTGGCAGTGTGGCCTGAATGAAGAAATAAGGTCTGCTCAATTCTGTGGTCTTAAGGAGGGGTGGTGGGGGAAGGACCTGAGAGAGGGGTCTTGAGCTGGATAAGTCTCAACCTTGTAAATTCTGCTAAGTAATGTGGATTTTATACTGAAAGCTATGGGGAATCCTGGAAGTGTCTGAAACAGGAACAGTTTGCATGGGAATGGATGAGGGGCAGAAGCTGGGACAGCATCCTTCAAAGCAACCCATGCTAGGTCTCCACATGTGCAGTGGAGTCAGCGTGGCCAAAGACACCCTCAATTAGGTGCGTGCCCAACTCCATGGGCTCAGGGGTCCTCGGAAGGCCCAGGACGCCCTCCCTCAACCCTTCCCTGATCTTTATGTACACAGAAGCTCAACCAGAAACAAGGCCTGGTGAAAAGAGCTGTGGACAGCTCCAGCACAGCATGGTTGTTGATGCCATCTTCCAGATGTGACTATGAAGAGCACACAGCTGCCTGCCCTGATGGCTGAGGATTCCATGTTATTGACTGACCATGCACCTGTGCCTTTGGGACATTCAGTCAAAACCTCCATGCTAAAAAAACAGGACATTAATTTTTTTGTAGGAAATTTTTTCATGGCAAAGGCTTCACCTCTTGCAGGCAGATACCCTGATATTTACATAGGAATTTCTCCTCCTTTGTCTTTTCCTAAATCCTCACCTGATCCATATTTACTGGCTCCATGATTTTGAGAAAATCCCTCCACGTCCTGGTGGAAACACTCGGACAAGACTGGATAACCTGTGAGGCCCTCCCAGTGCCAACACTCTAGGCCTGTGAGGAATCTTTCCCTGGGTGTGCCCAACACTCCATGGGTGTAGCGGGACAGGTGTGATGTCGCAAAATGGGCATGGATTTCAGAGTCAGGCTTGGATTCAAATCCTGCATCTGCTGCCTGTCAGCTGGGTGGCTTCATTTCTTTATCTGTAAAAGCTGGACGTTAAAAAGTTCTATCTCACAAGATGAATGCAGAGAAAATGCAGGGGAAAATGCTCTGCACAAGGCTCTGGCATTTGGAGAGCACTCCACGAAGGGCAGTTCCGACCCAGCTTCCTTCCTCTCCGTTTGGGAGAACGTGTTTCACAAACATTTTCACACTGGAAATGTCACAAATTGTTATCATCAAGTTTTCCCTCTTCAAGAATTTAAGGCCAAGCTCAGATGTGGTATCATATGTAAAAAGAAAATCTTAGAAAAATCTAAACTATTAATTAGAGACTGTTAATTAACAAGCTGGCTTATGTATTTATTTTATTTTGATTCCACTTTTGGTAGGGGTGAGTAGAGAGAAGTACAAAATCAAATACGTTTTATGACATCACCTTCTAAAAATAAACTTTTCTGCTAGACTCGAGACGAAAAAAGATAATATGAATATTTTCTTTTTATAAATGTGGTCCTCCTATTTGTTAATCCCCTTAATCTCGCTCACGTGGAGTTTTGCCCTCCCTGCTGGCACAGATCTCCGGACATCTCAGATATGAGACAAGATTTCTGTTACTAAGCGGTGCCCAGGAAGACAAGGAAACGGGAAGAAGGCACTTTTGGCCGGATGACCCGCCCTTTCTGTTATAAGGATATTCTAAGTCAGGGGTTGCCAGCCCTGGGTTCCTGGGGCCATGAATAATTAATTAATTAATTATGATTAAAATATTTTCTTAACAAAATATATCTAATGAAAGCCAGGGTGTGGTGAAACATACACTGTCATGCACAGTAGATTGTAATTAAAACAAATCTTCTGAAAACCAATTGGCAATTAAGTATCAAGACTTTAAATGTTTGTACTCTGGGAATTCTCTTTCTGGGAACCTACCCTATTGGGAAACAGTCTAATCAGGGAAACAGATACGTGCACAAAGAAGTTTATCACGGTGTTACTTTATAATGGTAAAAAAAATATACTGGGAACAAGCTAACAATACGAGAACAGTTACACACGCTATGGCGCATCCAGCAGGCGGATGGAGCCGCTTACAAGGAGTCTGTCAAACCCTGAGCATAAAAGCACAATCTCATCAAAATTATACTTTTTTTTAAAAAAAGAAGCAAAATATAAAACCTTCACAATTCAAAAGGTCTGGAAGGAAAGATACCAAATGTTGGTAGTGGTAGGCTTTTAGTGACAGGATTTTGAGTGACTTTTCTTTCTTCTTACTTATGTTTAGGTCCATCATAAGGACTATAGTATATAACTTTTATCGTCAGATAATAATAATAAACGTGTTTTATAAAGAAGTAAACAGACAGAGATGCCAGATGGAATCTTTTTGGCTTGGGAGGTGGCTAAGAATGGAATAATTAAGATCGAAGATACAATAAATTGTATCAGTTCCAAAAAAACGATGGGGCTTCCGGGTAGGGAGCCTACTCTGTTCCATACTCTCCTCCCGACCTCGCTGGCTCCTCCCCCGGATTTCTGTTAGGCCTGGAGAACAGGAGAGGAGTTGCTGTTCCCAGGGGCACAGAAATCCTGGCGCGGGCGCATTCACCGCTACGCATCCATTCTTATTCCTAGTGCCGTGATGATTATTTAAAAAGTGGATGAAATTTTAAAACAATCTGGCATTTATGAGGCTAAGCATAGGCCCTGTTTTGGTGCTTTTTATATCCATATTTCACCTTTCTCAGGTTTACAAAAGCTCTTAGTAAAAGGAACTATTGTCTCCTTTTTTTTACCTCCCCTGCCCTCCTTTCTCCTATCCACACAGAGTGACTTTGGGGGACATAATTGATTTGGATGAAAGAAAAAATGGGCAGATGAGGCCACCCATTGTTATATAAACAAACCCCGTTGCTGCCTGAAGAGCTGACTGGAGAAGCATCTTCAGGTGGCTGGGACAGGAAGGTTCTGGAAAGAGGGCACCAGAAAATCCCACAGTCCTCCCTGTGATGTGCCTTATTTGCTTTACAGGCTTCAGGCATATTTGCTGACGTCAGCAGCCCGTCAAAGTTTAAAATAATAACAGAGAAACGGAAAACAGCCCCTTTCTGCCAGCAGTCCTGTTCTGCCAACTTCTGGGTTCTCTTTTGAGTCAATAAAAGTCCAAGCACCACCTCCCCCAGCACCCTGGGGAAAAACAAAAAGCACAATAATTTTCAAACTGCCAGGTCAGCCCACTGCCAGCATAAACCACGCAGAAAAGTGGCGTTTGTCACACACTAATGAGGATTTTACCTCTGTCTCAAAAGGAAAGCTGTCATTAGGCTTTTTTTAATGGGATCAAATGATTGTCTGGGGACAGTAGGTTTCTTTTGGTCCCTTCCTCATTTTAATTGTGCTCAAGACCAAATGCATAGACGTTTTCTGCATCAGACGAAACTAAAAAACCATAATTATGCCAGCTAATGTCTTCCGAAAACATCAATTAAGAAAGGGGCCTTTTAATTCCCATTTTACTGGAAAATTTGAAAATATCCACGAGTGTTGTAATAGCATGGTGAAGGTGGGGTGGAGCGGACTGTCTCTAAAAAGGAGACAGTCCAAATGGCTTGGGGAGGTCAGGGGGGCAGGCTCCCATTGGACAGACAGAGAATCTCTCCAAGGGAAGAAACTTCTCTGTAAAGCAAGACCTCTTAAGTTATCTTCGCATGTAGGGTTGAAACTGGAGCCATCCCCTCCACGGGGAGATTGATACCAGGCTTCTGCACCAGGCTGGCACCACACACACACCCCATTGTTAATCCTCCTTGGGACAGATTAGATCCCACATTCCTCAGAAATACTGAGCTCCAGAGGGAACACTGCCAGCAGGCTCCTTCCACAGGGGCAACAACCAGCTCCAACTGATAAGTTTTCACTGAAATAACTGGAACAATGACATGGAGCCCACATCAGGGCTCCATCGCCAGCTATTGAGGGAGGCGTTTTGCACTTGCATCACCTGGCATGTGCAAAGGCGTGAGCCACAAAAGAGTCATTCAAGTGAAGGGGTCAGCTCCCTTTCATATGCTTTTATCTATGGCTACATGCCATTCTTAATCAAATTATTCACTCAAGGTGTATATTAGATTGTTGGATTTTTTTTTTTTTCTTCTTTTCAGGCCTTATCTAGCAAGCCTTAATATTTACACTATCTCAGTTTAGGTCTGAACAAGTAACTGATTAATCTCTGACCAAAGATTCTGATGGTAGACTTGGGTTTGGGGAAAATCCACTGAGGTCATGATTGCTTTCAATCTTACAGCTCAGGCCAAAAGCTGAACGCTAGCAAAGATCTTTGCTTTCAAGTCTTAGTTTCAGTAAGAGTGTTCACTAAACAGCAAATTTAGTTGTACTTAACTTGAATTCTGCAACTTCCCTTTTATTTTTTCTGAAGGAACAGTGACTGAGTGGATGTTGCAATATGAATGAAAGGACAAGACACATACTTTCGCAGGAGCAAATCCCAACGGGCCTAGATTAAATTTTAACCTGGGATTATGTCTGCCAGGACTCCATATCTCAAAAGGGTTATGTTTGGCTTTGGTAATAATAAAAGGTTATTTTGGAAAAAGGATCTCAGTTTAACATAGACTGTATTTGCTAGGAGGAAATACAAGGTCAGTCTTTGATACAGTTCAGCCTTTGAAAGAAAATAAAAGGCAAACAGTTTAGCAGATGAGTAATTCTCCAATCTGCAGAAATGTAAACAGCCAGGATTTGGGTGCCTATGGGTTTTATCAAAGATGTAAGAAAGGCTGAGACCAACACCAGTGCGTCCTCTTTGGCTAGTTTTAACACGTTCACAGTCACAATTAACATTCAAGGAATTTCCTTTCCATCCAAGTGTTTCTTTTAAAAGCACTTTATGCCACAAACTAAAGTTCTAGCTGCCATCAGTCCTTCCCATACAGAAGAGTGGTGAACTCTCCATAATACTTTTTCTCTCCTTTTTTGAAAATGGGCTCGGACCACGTCAATTTCCCTGGGGCGTTTGTTTTCTAATATGGGGTTCTCACCTCCTCCCTCCTTCCTTCCCCTAAAAGAGCTTGCACTAGAGACCCGCCTTCCTTCTCCCGCGTCCTCCTCGGCACTCGCTCCGGAGCCAGAGGAGGGCGGCTGCGGGGCAGGCGACCCGATCCCCTCCCCGCGCCCGGTCCGGGCACTGCTGCCCGGCAGGAGGTCCGGGCCCACCCGCAGCCCGGTTTCAAGTCCCTGAGCCGGCCGGTCTGGTGCTTTCTACAAGGAAGGGAGAAAAGGCCGTCTCCCTCCCCCACGCTTCTCCCCCTACACAAGGGATTCGCACACCGGCACCGAGTCCGAGTCCTGGCTGTGCATAGAGCTCAGACCGGTATCCGAATCCTCGTCGTTGCCAGGGCAGCTCTTGGCCAGTCCGCGGGCCTGGTCCACCCACACCTCGGCGCAGGCTTGAGGCCGGGGTTCCCGCGAGGGTCCGCCGGAGCCGGGAGTCCCACTGGGCGCTACCGTCAGCTCCAACGTGTGCAAAGTCTGGAGAAGGCCCTGCAGCTCGCGCTCCTTGCTGTCCCACTGCTGCTGGCTGTAATCCAAGTCCGACTTGACGGCCTCCAGGTCCGTGTTGAGCCGGAGCCCGATGTAGAGGCTGGTGCTAAGCTGAGTCCTGACCCGCTCCTGCTCCAGCAGCAGCTCGCCGTCGAGGCTGCCATCCGGCTCCGGGGGCCCCTCTCGCGCTGCGAGCTCCTCCTGGCGCCGCCGCATCCATCTCTGGTTCAGCTCCTCCTGAATCTCGGCTGAGAGGCGCTCGAGCAACTCCTCCTGTTGGGCCCGCTGCTCCTGCAGCCGCAGCAGGTCGTCGCAACGCCGGGCCAGCTCCTCCAGCGCGGCCGCCTGAACCTCGCCGTCCAGGGGCGCCACCGCCGCCGCCGCTGCCGCCGCCTCCGGCTCCTCTTCCGGGCTGGGCCCGTCGACCTCGATGTCTGCGCCCACCAAGTAAGTATCCTGCACGTAGTTGACTCCGTGCCGCCGCATGCGGTCCAGGTGCACCTTGGCCTCGTAGCGATCGATCTCGCGGTCCAGCTCCCGGAGCCGCTGCACCTGCTGACGGATGGTGTGGTCCTGCGAGAGCACCAGATGCACCAGCGTCTCCATACGCTCCACCGACGCGCTCTCGGTGGCCCGTGGCGACGACGAGCAAGACGAAGCTGTGGACGACGAAGTGGATGAACAGGGCGACGAAGGCTGCTGCTGGCGCCGCCGGTTGAGCTTGGCCAGCTTGCGGAAGGCCTTGCGCACCACCCGCCGCTGCTTCTCCTGGGTCATGGCTAGGCTGGGCCGCGCCGGGACCCCCCGGGCCGAGCAGGGGCGCTCGCGACTGAGCACGACGCGCGCCTCGGCGCTGCGGGGGCCCGCGTTGGGCAGCGACGCCTCGCTGCGGACCAGCACGAAGCGTACATTCTCTCGCTCGTCGCCCCAGGCAGCCCAGAGGCGCAAGATGCGCGTCTTGTTGGGCAAGATGCGCTCAAAGCCCCGCCACTTCTCCACGATGCAATAGCACTGCGGAGGCCCACACAGCATGCCCTGTGGCAGCGTCTCGTCGTCGTCCTCGTCGTCCTCGTCCAGGGGTTCCGGCATCTCCCCCGGGCTTGGCGGGTCGCCGGCTGCCCCCCGCCGCCGGCTCCGCCGATGCCTCCTTCGCCGCCGGCAGCCGTCCTCCAACAGCACCCGCACCACGTCCGAGCAAGTGGTACGGCGGGAGAGGCCGGACACTAGCTTCTCCTCCTGGCAGATCCACACCGATATCTTCTTCTCCGAAGGATCCATGGCGCAACCAGGACGCAGGTGAAGGGTCGGGCCGGGCCCCGCGGGGGCAGCAAGGGCAGGGCGAGCAGCCTGGCAGCTCTAGGAGAGGACAGGAGCCCAGGACCCTCGCTTCCGTCAGTACTGGACCTTCTCCCCGGCTGCGCACCAAAGGCAAGCGCTAGCGCGGGCTGGAGCAGCTGCGGCTGCGCTCGGCCCGGACGGCGCGCGCTCCCAGGGCACTGCGCCCGGGCTCGGGTTCCCGCCGTTCTGGCTCTGCCCAAGGTTCCCGGGGCCTCCGGGTTTTGCTCCTCCCCACGTGGCTCCTCCCCTTCCCGCCCCTGGCACCCAGAGCTGCGGCCTGAGCGCGGGAGTCGCGGCGCCCAGGCCCGCCCCTCGCGGCCTCGCCGCGCCCGGTGCGCCCAGTCCGCCCCTCTCCTGCGCCGCAGTCAGGAGTCTCCGCCCTGTCTGCGGACTGGCGACTCTGTTTCGTGTCCGCGCAGGGAGAACTCGGGGACCCGTCCGCTGCAGGGCCTGGAGCCCGCGCTTAGGCAGAGGTTGGCTCTGCGTCTCCCTCGGCCCATTGGCTCCTCTCCATGCGTCTAGAGCCAGTTGGACGCCTGTTGACAACTTTTGCACGGTTCCCGGCGCCCCTAGACGCGTTTCCTGGTCAGTCAAGGCAGCGCCGTCTGGGGGAGTGCCCTTTGCACAGACAGGGAAACCGAGACAGTCAGCGTCTCTAACGGAGAGCCTCAGATCGCATCACATGCCCTTCAGCTGGGAGCTGTAAGCCCACCTTTAACGAGGAAGGCCTTCCCGTCTTCCGCGTCAGGAGGCAGTGTTTGCATATTTAAGGATAACAAGATGGGGCAGTGTGCTCCGTGAGCAAGTGTAGATATAGGAGACCTAAGCTGGAGGAGGACGTTCAGAGGCTGCTCCCGGTCCCCCCAGGGTCATGTCTGTGGCTCTCCGCATCGCCTCGGCTTCGCACAGCCTTCTTGGCAGGGGGACGCCTGATTCTAGTGGGAGTTCCGGGCCCAGACCCAAGTCACAAGCTCTTTTCTCACATGCCACCTCCATAAGGGGGAACCTAGTGACTACCGTGATAGTTTCTGGCATTTTCCAGTATCCAGACGTGGTCAAGAAGAGGTAAGTGCCCAGTTTCACAGCTCAAGAAATCCAAGACCACAATGCAAATGAACTTTTTTCATCCTCAGATTCTGATGAAGATGGTCCCTTGTGTGGAAGGATTGCCCTGAGCTTATCCTTGTGAGCACAGGTCTGATAAGGTCACTCCCTTGCTTAAAGACCTTGGATGGCCCCCATTGCCTCCCAAATAAAGCACTTCTATTCATTCACTCAGTAAATATTTATTGAGGACCTGCTGTACTCCAGATACTGTTCTAGAGATTTGGTGATGAACAAATCAGTCTTGCCTGCAGGGAACTGACAATCTAGTGGAGAGCACAGCTGAGTAAACATGTCCAACACAGGGCTTCTGTGCTCTGATAAAGGAGAGCATGAGGTGCTAGGGGAATGCTGGAGTAGCATCCTACTCAGTCTGGGAGAGTCAAGGAAGTCTTCCCGGAGGAGGTGGCATCTTAGGCAAGACCGGAAGCACCATTTGAGTTTACCAAAGGAAAAATAGACAGAGGGGAGGAGGCAGGCAGCATCCCAGGCAGAAGGAGCCATATGTGCAAAGTCAAGGAATCAAGAGAGCATGGCAGTTACCGGGGCTCTAAGGAGTTTAAAGGAGAGGAGTGTCTAAGAATGAAGTTGGATGAGAGAGCAGGAGCCAGATCAGGAAGGATTTAAATTCCTTGCATCAGTATTTGGGCCTGTCCTAAGGAAAATGAGAAGCCACAGAGTGTGGATTCTGAGGTCAGACTGGTTGAGTAAAAATCTCAGCCCTGTCACTAGTAAGTGACTAGTAAGCTTTGTGACCTTAGGAAAAGTTTTCATCTCTCCCAGCCTGTTTCCTCATCTGTGAAATGGTGATAATAAAAATATCTGCCTATTAGGACTGTTATGAGGATTAAATGCCTGGACCAGGTAAGTCCACAATAAAAGTTTTACTGGAGGGTTAGAAACTGTGGGGGTGTATTAGTTTTATATTGCTGTGTAGCAAATTACCACACATTTAAGCTCGAAATAACACCCGTTTATCAGTTCGCAGTTCTGGAGGTCAGAAGTCCAGCATGGCATGGCTGGGTTCTCTGCTCGGGGTCTCCCAAGGCCAAAGGCAAGGTGTTGGCTGGGTTGAGTTCTCATGTGGAGGCTCTGGGAAAGAATCCATTTCCAAGATCACTCGGGTCGTTGGCAGCATCCAGTTCCTTGTAGTTGTAGGACTGTGGTCCCTGTTTTCCTGCTGGCTGTTGACTGCGGGTCTCTCTCAGCTCCTAGGAGCCTCTCTCAGGGCCTTTCCACATGGCGCTCCTTTATCTTCAAGCCAGCAACAGCTTGTCGAGCCCTTTGAATCCTCCTTGGCTCTGAGTCTCTCTGACGTCCCCTTTTACTACCTGCTGGAGAGAACTCTCTGCTTTTGAAGAGCTCACGTCATTAGGTAGATTCAGCTGGATCATTTCCCTATTTCATGGTCGACTAATTAGTAGCCTTAACTATACCTGCAAAATCCCTTTTGCTGTGTGACATAACATGATCATCAGAGTAACACCAGGGTGATGGCGCTCATGGGGCCATCTTGGATTTCTGCCTACCACAGGGTGTAACATGATCATTCTCATCTTGAAAAATCACACTGTTTGCATTGAGGATGACGGCTAGGGGTGGGGGACAAGAGACAAGGAGGCCCCTTAGAAGACTGTCACATTCATTCAAGGAGCGGATGGTGGCATGCACTGAGAGTCATGGTGGTGAGAGAGCTGGACAAAATTGGGAGCTCTCAGGGAGGTGGGAGAGGCAGGACTTGGCAATGGGTTGAAGGGGGATTTCCATCTCCCTAGCACAGTATTGAGGGTCTCATAATCTGGCCCAGCCCACTCCCCCAACTCCTCCCTCACACACTTGGATATCCCTTGTCCCTCCTCTCTGACACACGATAGTTAGAGCTTTGTTATCAGCTGCCATCCCCGCTGGATTTAAGCTCCACCACAGTAGGGATCGTATCTGTTTTGCTCACTTTTGAATCCTCTGCATTTAGCACAGTGCCTGGCACATTCTAGGTTTACTCAGTATCTGTTGAATAAATAAATGGATGAATGAATGAAGCCTACCTTCTAGCAAGTCAACACCTCTCTGATCTGAAACAGCCCCTGCATCTTGATGCCTCCATGCTTTTGTACATGATTTCCCCACTAATTAGGAGCCCCCTTCAACAAATGGAAAACTCCTCCTCATCCTTCAGAAGCCCAGTTCAAAGATCATATGCTCTGGAAATCCTTTCTTTCCTCCTCCGAGAAGAACTGGTTCCTTACTCTTCTTCTGCCTCTGTTCATGCAGAGGTTACATTGTGTTGTGACGCTTTTTTTGTTTTAATGTCTATTTACCCTAGGAGACTTAAGAGCTTTTCGAGAGAATGAATTGACTATCTTATTATTATTTTGGTCCCCAGTGCCTAGAGAATGCCTGGCGCATAGTAGACCCTTGATCTTCCTCTGTGCTGTAAGGAACACTAAGGTGAATAATATCTAAGATACTGTGCTAACCTCAAGGTTATAATAATTTCTTTCTAGGGGGAGACAAGATACGTGGCAGCCCTGTTGTGGGAATAATACATAGGAACTTCCTGCTGGAGTAACTAAAGGGGAGAGCCATCAAGGGATCCTGGGAAGGTTGAAGAAGGTGGGGCTTTAATAGGTGGAGGGAAGGGGTTGAGGGGATCCTTGGTGGGAAAAATCGCATGAGTTAAAATGTCAAGGTGGGTATGCACACGATTGTGTACCAGCATTTTAAAGTGCAGTTCTGGGGTCACGCTGCCTAGATTTGAATACCTGCTGTAGGCTTTCTAAGCTTCAATTTCCTCAACTGGAAAAAAAGGGAAAATAATATGACCTTCCTTGTAGAATTACCATGAACATGAAATGAAATAACGTACATCACGTTCAGCATAGCGTCTGGTACAGAATAAATGCTTAATAAAACATAGCCAGCTTTATCCACAAGTTTTATTAAGCACCTACTCCTTGCTGTGTCCTGCGCTAGGAGTTGAGGATACAGCAGTGAGCTAGACAGGCGTGGTCCCTGCCCGTACGGAGCTCACAGTCAGGACTATTGGTATTTGTTTAATTAGAAATGTACTTAGATTAGGCTAGACTGTAGTAACAGACAGAGATAAACACATAAAATGCCCAAACATAACAGAGGTTTATTTTTCACACACATAATAGTCAAAAGCAGGTGTCTTAGTTGGCAGGTTGCTTTATTTCAGACAGTGATACAAGGATCCTGGTGTCTTCCTTCTCGTGGCTCCTAATCCCCCAGACCTCATCATCTACCTCCAGCAGAGGCAGAAGAGGGGAGGAGGGGGCACACCCTCTTCTTCAAGGCCTTGGCAGGGAAATGGAACACAGCAGTCCCACTCACGTCTCACTGGCTGGAACCCAGTCACATGGCCACTCATAATGGCAAGAAGGCTGGGAAACTTGGTGAGTGCCTCAGAAGAAGAGGAAGTGATGTTTATGAAGAGCTGGCTACCTGCCTCAAGCATCTTTATAAGAAATGGGAGACGAGGCAGAGAGAGAAGTTTCAAAAGTCTGTAGGTTGCAAATGGGTGGCCTGAAGGCCAGTTCTGGCTGTCATTAACAGAGCACACCTTTCCAGGTAGCCATAAACCCAGCACTCTCTGCGTCTCCAATATGACCCAGTTCACGTCCATTCGAACTCTCCTGACCACTGCAGACATTTGGGGTTGTGACTCCTGCTTCCACACGTCCCCCCAGGACTCTCTCATTTACTGCCCAGGCTTTAATACTATTGATACCCCATGGCTCCCAAATCTTTGCATCTTTTCCAGGTCTCCTCATCCTCAAATAGGCATATTCAACTGCTTTACCCCCCAACATTTGTCAAAAAGATAAGCTGAACCCAGCATTTTTCTTCACATACATGTTCTGCCTCCTAAACAGAGTAGTTTTAATTTTCTTTTGTTTTATGATGTCCCACAGAAAGCCTTTTGCTCCAACCCAGTCCTGAACAGAGTACCCCTTGGGCAGCCTGAGAAGTACACTCCTGATTCCCACCTGCAGTTGGATCCAACCGAAATTCAAATGTATAAAGGGTTGCTTCCCAGAGAGGACTCAGTGTCCTCGGTCGT